TTATTTTTACGAGTTTTATTACCTCTGATGCTTTCGAATGCTTCGCATTCAAATTTTTCATGGACTATGCTAACAAAGAAAAAGATATGCTCCAAATTATTTTCACTTAGGTACACAGAGGGTGGGGCGATGCCTAGGAACCTGAAATTGCGACTTCGTCGTTTAATGAGAGTGGAGTGTACATTTGTAGGCGATCGCGAAATTTTATTTTTTTTTTATGACAAATACTATTAAATTTATATAGCATTATCGCTGGTACGCAGTGCTCGATTGCATTATGCACCAATAAGGTAAGCAAAATATTCGCAATAAATAATGAGAAAAGCGTATCATTTCATAGGTATAGAAATTCTTATTGTGTATTGATTTAATGTTTAAATTAATAAGGTTGTATCGTTGCGCGCCTCCAACTTGCACGCAACCAAGAGGTGACTGTTGAAACTGGATAAATGACAGAGTCTTGCTAAGGGTTTAAGTCCCTTTTTATTCAACGTAATAAATTACAAGTGCGTGCTCTTGACGCTCACAAACTACGCCAACTCGGCGGAAAAATAAAAATAAGAACCTGAAAAGAAACTAATAACAAGACTCTAACCAAAGAATCTCTAAGGAAAAGAATGAAAGCTTCCATAGACGCAATGTAAACCTGTTTCGCCTCTGCGCCGCTATACCGAAGAGCCACGGCTATGCAGTGAAACACCAGCGCAGGGTGAAATTTAGATAACGTCGTCCGAGGAGATAGTAAATTTTTTACTTCGAAATAACTCAAAATGTTTTTTTTCATACATATCTGAGTTTTATGAGCAAAATGCTGTTAGTTGGAATTTTGGGCGAGTTATAGGAATCCTATCCAATTGTTACTTTCAATTTAAACACGAGCCATACGAAGACAAAATTTAAATGAATAAATTTCTTAGTACTTACCAGGATTCAGAGACTTTGTTTTAGATAAATGTGAAGTGATCTTTTATGTTCTTATCTTAATTGTTTTGCATGGAACATCCTAAGTTCAACTGCAAAATTGAATTTAAAAAAAAAATGAATAAATTTTATTTTTTTCATTTGATATAATATCCAGCATAATTATAACTACTGCAATTAATTACAAAATAACGCTATTTTGTAATTGTTTCATTCAAGCATATTATTAAATATTAAAATAAAGAATAACATATTTTAAGTAAACAATATTTTTGACACTTCTCAAGTTTCAGAATATAGGTATGCAAAATATTTTAAGCATCTTCACAATACCAAGGAACTTTTTAGACAATTATTTGGAATGACCTTATGAAAACCATGAGCAATGTTGCAACCAATAGCCAAAATCATATCACTTAAATTAACAAATACAAAATTCACTGAAAAGGTCTTTTAAAGAATTTCACATAAATTATAAAATAGCTGATTTCATTCTTTTTTCGCAAAATACTCAATATTTCTTATATTTATTCATATAAGATTAATACTTAATTTGAAAATCAAACCTATAGGTATTATTAAAACCTGGGAAGAAATTTTGTAAATATTTACTGAATCAAATAAATATTATTCAAACAAATATTGTAGCATGGGACAAAAATTATTTCAAATATAAAATTAGGAATAAATTTTTTTTAAATAAAAATTACAAAATGATTTTCTTTGATGACACAATTTTCTATTTTCGCCTATAAAAACTAATAATGTAAATTGCTATGCTTGGATTTTTCCTTTTAATTTTGCAAAAGTATTTAATCCAAGTTATTCAACAAATGGAGTACATTTAATTCTGTAAACTTAAAAGGGGGAAACATGCCATACATACGTAATAATTTTTATGAATCCATAGTTAAAAAAATTTTACAGTGAAATTTTAAAAGCAAAATTGCTTATAACTAACTTAAACAGAAAAAATAATAAAGACAATCCAGAGCACCCCAATAAATTGAAAACACTGAAATACATTATAATATCCGACAATAACTTAAAAAAAATTACCATGAAAACGTTTAGACAATTATTTGGAATGACCATTATGAAAACCAAGAGCAAAGTTTGCACCCAATAGCCAAAACGATTTCACTTACAACATTACATTTAAAGTCTTCTAAAGAATTTTACATAACTAGAACCAAGTACCTCTGACTACAACAAAGAACCTTTTCAAACAACTCGGTAAAAGATTGCTAATATGGCCGACGGCATGCTGGATGTTATTTCGCACATGCGCAGTGAGGTACGGAGGGTGGATGAATTGCCCCTTTAAAATAAGCTTCAGGGATATACATAATGTGTCTCTTCGGTCTGACGGAGCCACATTTGCCCCGGAGAACCTTTACTTCTTCTCCTTAGATATTCTCTCTAAAAGTAACTAACCTCACCGCGTTTTACAATACCGCTGCTAATTCAGCAAACTTGAAGATCACGTTGACGATTAACAATACTTCCAAGCAAGCACACAGGCCGAAACGCGGGGTTCTCAATTTGGCTAACTACCTCCGCGCTCGTGAAGTAAGAACGCACACCTCGAAACTCGTTTCCTTTCTATTAACTCAGAATACTTCCGCTGATAATTTGAATCCTTGCGCGTTCTACTAAAATTTACATACTCTGGCATTGGCAGTTCCAGGGGAAAGTAAGGCTTGACAGGTGTATTTAATTATGGCAAAGCACACTAGGGCTATCTGCCTAAGAGGAGGGATGCCTTTCGTGGAAGACTTTCTAAGGGAAACTGGCTCGTATACACGTTACACATGGGGAAAACCACGAAAACACCCATGCAGCCAGCCCGTTCGCGGGATTCGAACCTCGGACCGAACTACCAGTGTTCAGTGACTTTACCGCTCGGCCGCTGGTGGGCTATAAGGCTTGACAGGAAAGATAGTTTAAACTTAAAATAAATGTTAGTTAAAATAAATATAAACCCTACAAGGTGATATGTTAAATTAAGATAATTATGTTAAATTAATATTTAATTAAGTGATTTAATGTTTAAATAGCAGTGGTACAAGTTATTCTGAATTTTCATATTACTTAAATTAATTGATTCGTTAATATATGTAAAAACTTCTATGCATTCTATTATGCGTATTTAAATGGGAACGGTGAAGCGACATAGTAAGTGAAAGTGAAAAGTCATGAAAAAGAATATGTCATAAAAAGTCAAATTACATTCGTATTTTCGGTGAATGAATTTATATTTCTTCTCAGAAAGATATTTGAATTACCATATATCATAAACAGACATCTGCTACATTTAAATTTAGGGAAACTTTATTTGAATATTTTAACTACTTTTCAAAATACAGAACTGTTCAAGTTATTGTACTGTTTAAGTTATTGTTCTAGTTACTGTACTTATTAAGTTATTGTACATTACTGTTTGCTAACGTAAAATAATTTAACTTATCTGGATCGGATTCTTACTGTAATTGTATCTGGATTAACAATATTCAGCCAGGATTACAGGTAAGCATTTTATATTTAAAACTTTCGCTTAGATGTATAATTCTTTAAAACATAAAACACAGCTTCTGAACAAAGTTGCAGAAGCGATCGGACCAAAATAAGGGTCTGAGAACATACATAAATTTAAAAAATTAGCCTCTAAACATTAGGAACAAGTTGGTAATGCTTTAAATATCGGACAGGGAATTAGGTACTGAATAAATGGCCTTAATTTGAATTTCTTCTATTTTAACATTTTTGCTACTAGTATTTCATCTGCTGTCTCCACATTCACCTGCGCTCTTAATAAAAATTTCCCCTCTACAATTCGTGTTATATTTACAAGAGGAAAGAGATCTATGCCTTTCTCCACAATTACAGAGGGTGCTGCAGAAAGAACTCCCAATTTGGGAGTAACATAGCTACGGTTCGGAAGGGTGTACAGTGATGTTAAGCGTACCATCGAATAGCGACTTATGTGCCGTTTCAGAATAGCTTGGTAAAAATAACATCACGCTTTCGTTGTAGAGAAGTTTATTCATAACTGCAGGTTGCCGATAGTATTCAGATGCTATACAGTTAAAACTTTACCTTTCATAGTATCAAGGAATATTTACTCTGCCGCGGCTTACATAGTCAGGACGGACGAAAACAAAGTGTCAGATGTTTTTTTTTTTTTTGGATAAGTAACGTTTTTGCTCGTACTTCAATATTTATTTTAGTTGCTGTTTTAGCAGGCTTGCAGTTGTATCTGAGCCTTAGGAGATTCCTCATGGTCAAACTGAAGAAAGAATAACGGCTACATTTTCAGAATCTCAGGTCCTTCATTTTGACATTCCAATCTGAAAATATAATTCCTCTACTTTTATTCGATTATCTGCGACTAATTTAAGTGACAGATCATTGATTCGGAAACCAATGCAAAGTTTTTTAGGAAACGAGCCCTCTAATGAACCCTTTTCATACCAGCGGACTGTGTTCGGTTCGCAATAAAGAAAGCAATTAACGAGTTAATGAAAAACATCATTAAGAAGGAATTCTAGGAAACTGGAGTTGTCCTGAACATGCATAAAACGGATTTGAACAAAATGTTTTAAAGATGTTTTATAGATGATGCAGGAACTGAAGCCCAAGTATTGTTTTCACTTTCATACCTGATCTCATGATACCATCTTGATCATAAAATGGTCATCTCACGCACCAAAACCAGCATATTGCGTGTAGTAAATTTCCTCAGCTTTTGTCTACATATAATATGTAGTAAAATAGGTTGATGGTATAAATATTTCTAAAAAGAAACTTCTTTACCTAATTGTTTATCATAACCTCACATCTTTGAAACTTGCTAAATAAGTTTTCTTTTAGAAACATAGATACCGGAAGAAAAGTCCTAAAGCAGGAGTTTATAAATTCTGCCAGTATGGGGTTAATTCATTAACAGTGTAAGTTTATAACGCTTAAAAAGAACTTCTTTTCTTTTAGAAATCAATCCAATTAATGTGTTTATGAGTACAATAACTTAAGGATTAAATTTTGATCAGGTGAGTTCGAAACATTGTGTGCTAACGTACCTTAAAGTTGTTCTCATTGTGGACATTTTATCGACAGTCCACCAGTATACTTTGTCGACGTAAGTAAGACCAGGTTGATCTCTTCTGCGCAGTGCTTCTCTAAGCCTTGTTGTACCACGTGGAAGACAATTGGTGATACCATCTCCTTGCCATATGTGGTCGGTAAGTTTTATAGCTTTCAGAGCATTGCGAATGTCATCCAAATCTTCGTTTCCAGAAAAATCATATCCTGCATATTAATAATAATACATATTTACATAAAATAATACAACACGTAATTAGGTGAAAATATTAAATAATTTATTTAAATTGTAGAGTCATTAGGTTTTCTTTTTTGAAGCAGGAGTGGTGAAAACTGTGCAGTGCCCTTGCCGGGACTCAAACTCTGAACCTGTCGAATACGCGTCGAGTCCAATTACACTACGAACGCATGCAAAAAGGAAAGAGAAAATACCTTGTATACTACCTTTTTTAAAGGTCGACTGTGGATTAGGAGAGCTAATCGACAAATCCTGTTGGTGACGAATTATCGTCCACCACCTTTCAGTTCGGATGTCACTTGTACAGTCAATTAGAAATTTTTGATGTCAGGAAACTGAAGAAATCAGCAGTTGCTCTCGTCAGGACTTGAACCCTGGACCTCTCGAATACGCGTCGAGTATGGATCCAGTTACACCACAAAAGCACGCGGAAAGGAGGGAGAAAAGGCCTTATTAAATATAACTATTAGTTGCAGTTCTTTTCCCTACTTCCAAACGAAGCTGATAAACTTAACAATCGATGTAATTCTGTTAATATTGCTTTTGATGGAACAACTTGTTTCGAGACTCAATAAATCTTATAATAAATGCATATATTACCGAAGCTCTTGATTATTTGTAACAAGATGTTTAAATGCGTTTTATAGCTTATATTATTAAAAATTATCTGTTTTCACTGCTGTGTTAAAAGATATTTAAATCTATAATACTTGCAACTATTTTTGAAATATGAAACTTACATAAATATTATTCTAAATTAAATCGTAAAATCTAACTAATTCCACAATTGAACGTAAATTATCATCAGTTTAAAGGATCTGGCTTTAAACACACACCTATTTTAATTCTTTAAAGATTCATGTAATAAAATAGCAACAATTATTTTGGTATTTTAATGAGTCCTTTTCTCTTCCTTCAGGTAAATTTGTAGTTTTACTGAAATTTTTGTAGTTGAGCGAATTTCACGAATGTTGATAAAAATCAAATTTAAGGTATATTAAATTTTAAGCAATATACAAAAAATAAATTAATTCAACAGAAAATTAAAACTTCATGGCGAAGGAGAGAATGAGATCAAAAGTTAAGTTATTTTTATCGTTTATATGACTCGAAATAAATTTTCGCAAAGAAATGTTGCAAAAATGCGATCATTTTGACGTGATGTTTGATAACAGGAAGGCAAAACGTCTAAGATTCATTTGCAGTTACCATTTATTTTAGACCATTAGACACAATAATGCGCTAATGAAAAGATAATGACATTTGAAATTATCCACGCAATGAAGAGAAATTCAAGGCAAGTTTGGAAGCACTTTTATTGTGTCTTATTATGAGATAAAATGGGAGTGAATTGATGATGATATGCATTTTTTACGCAGTATACCTTATGTATGAAAATATTGCAAGTGAGATTGAAATTAATTCTGACAAAAGTTTTAAAGACAATTTAAAGCGAAAAATATCTACAGTCTTGTTGGATTGCAGGAAAACGTTTACTGTTGTAGTAAACAAGCACTTTTATTTTGGTGATGTTTATAGGACGCAGGATGTTTTGGTAAAGTAAAGGATGCAAAAAAGATATGAAGGAGCAATAGCCTTTTTACGGAGAATAGATTATAGTGATAAGGTACAGGATCTGCGGGAAAGCTACAGATCCCTTGCCATTTACTTGCTAAAATGATCACAAGGAAAATCTTCAGATACTACTAGAAGCATCTTGGGTTAGCTTTGAATGGAATAGCAAAAGAACTTATTAATCATATCGTAAGGTATTTTCTCCCTTCTTGCCGCATGTCTTCGCGATGCAAATGGATAGCATGTTCGGCTGGCAATCGGAACGTTCGACGTTCGAATCCGGCGAAGGTATTGTAGATTTCTTCAGTTTTCTGACATAGAAAAATTTTGTATAAAAGACTCTACAAGCAGCTCTCGAACTAAAAAGGTAGTGGATGATAATTCGTCACCACCAGGATTTGATGATTGGGTCTTTTCATCCTCAGTCGCCCTTTAAAAGGGGGAGTATATAAGGTATTTTTATTCTTCTATCTGCTTTCCTTAGTGATATAAGTGGATAACACGTCCGGCTAGCAGTTGGGAGTTCGGTATTTAAATCTCAGTGAGGTCATTGCAATTTTTCCCAGTCTCCTGCATCGATAAATCCTAATGACTGCAGAGTATTAATATAAAGATCTTCAGAATTCAAGAAATACGTGTAAAAACATGATATAAAAACAATAAACTTTTGCATTGAGTGTAACTGCTATGCATACATATTCACAATTACATTTTATACAATGAAATGTATTATTCGTTTATACAATACTTTGTTAATTGTGCAGAAACAGAAACTATAGTTTTGTAGTCACAGTTTTGTTTGACTGAAGTGGAAACACTCCTCCGATTGCGGCGATTTTTACTAGAGGGGGTACACCGCGGAAAGGTTTAGTTTCGTTATAGAACACCAAGAGAACCTACATGCCAAGATCTCGGGCGTTTTACCGCTAAAGATGTAATTCATTCTACCTGTCAGGTAGCAGAAAACCAGTAAGCTGTAATATGCATTTGTCAGGTGGCAGAGGGCTTGTATATAAAATGTAAATAAATGTGCAGTAGAAGAAATGTGGTGATATAAATTAAGGAACACGCAACGGCACAGCTCAATTGGTCTGTACATATAGTTTTGTTTGACTTAGATGGAAACACATATTAAATTCAAATGTTGTTCACGTTAAATTAAATTTGTCATTAAGTCAGCAAGCACGGTTTTGAAAAAAATTTGCTGAAAAATTTATGTGCATTGAAATTTTCATTATAACTTCTATTTTAAAGAATAACTGAAATGCGAATTGTGATAATATTATCTATACCACAAGGTATTTTTTTCTTTTTAGTAGGCATAGTTATAATTTTATTTTGTATTTATTGGGTCTCAGGTTTTGTTAATAGATTCCAAAGGATAAGTACCTACATTATCTAATAGAAAACTCGTATCTAAAATCATTAAGATATGTTGAAATAAATATTTTTTTAAGAATAGCATTTATAATGAATAATAAAAAGATACAGAGCTACTGACATTTAATTTATTAGGAAAATCAAAGTGTTTTCCTACCTATTTTGGAATCGTAATATGAGAAGTTTTTGGACTCAGACAATGTTCTTCTGAAACTTTCGATGAATTCTAAATGATTCACTGAAGGAAGTGAGATTAGAATATAGGCCCTCGCTTTCGAAATTCCTGAAAAAATAATTTTCTGTTCATTTATAATGCACATAAACAAGATAAGCTAATATGTATACATTCTTATACTTTAAAAACTTATAAAAGTTATAAGAGAAACTGCATCGCAATTAACAAACTAATCATGGTGCATATAAAAGTATAAATTATAGAGGAAATGGCAAGAATTCTGAATAACTATAATATGAGTTTCGAGTAAGAATCTAAAAGAAAAATTGGCTGTTATTATCTTATATTTTATTTTTGAGGATTTAGGGGAGATTCACAAGAATTGTTTATTTTCTGAAGTTTATTCTTATATTTTCGCCATTAAAATTTGCCTAAATATTTTTGACTAAATATACCAGCCTCTGAGCATTAAAGTTATTCATTTTTATACCTTGATAACCCCATTTCTAGAAATATATGCACAGTTATAAAAAATTGCTGATTTTACGTACCCTTGCTTCCAATTTCCTAAATTAGTCATGGAATTTTATACGCAAAGAATTGAGTCATAATTCTTAAAATCACTGTATTTACATAAGCATGACAATTTCATTCCATTAGGGGTTTGTGGAGTTGAAAATTAATATTTACAGGATACCTAGCACATAGAAATATCGAAACGTGTATGATATTTTTCGTATCATATGCAGTATTAAATCCTTAAGAATGAATCCTTTATACGACGAGCCCACCAGCGGCCGAGCGGTAAAGTCGCTGAACACTGGGTAGTTCGGTCCGAGGTTCGAATCCCGCGGACGGGCTGGCTGCATGGGCGTTTTCGTGGTTTCCCCACGTGTAACGTGTATACGAGCCAGTTTCCCTTAGAAAGTCCTCCACGAAGGCATCCCTCCCCTTAGGCAAATAGCCCTCGAGGCTTTGCCATAATCACCCACACACTTTATACGACGAAAGAATTTAAATGACAAAATGGCATTACCATAGATTTCATAAACAAACAGGCAAGTACGCATATCATAGAATTTAAAATCATAACATTATCGGATATCAAAAATAAATTGGCGTACTACTTAAAATGTACCTTCAGAATAGAAGTTGATATTTTGAGGCTAGACGCAAGTTAATATGTAATATGAAAAAAAAAAAAAAAATTATAAGGAAAAATGGAAGAATATTACATTCTAACTAAAAAGAAGTAGAATATTTAATTGAAAACTGTTACGTCCAAAAAGACAAAATCAGTCTCAAATTACAATTTACATCATTCTTAGTGAGTAGTGAAAGAGTTGATGGAAAAAATATTCCGATCATTTTAAATTTCTAACCCCTTCAAGCAGACACTTGAAACTATGCAAAACATCAGTCATACTTCAAATTAGTGGATTTCATTAACCTTGATTTCCCTTTTATGTTTTAAATCATGAGAGTCGTAACTAAGGTAGCATAATTTCTTCTTTGATCTTCAAAATAAGTTTCTTGACTATTTTCAGAATGCACGTGCAGGGTAAAAATGTTAGAGAAAGTTACAAAACCTTGATATGTAGGTGAAATATAACAAAAAGTATTTGATGGACTGTAGTTTCAGAAAGCTAAATATATCTTTGTCTTACATATAGACTTACGTTGTAGGGAAACCAAACATTTACAAAATAAATTTTAGATCCGCTTGAGACCAGCAGGCGACTTATCGCTTCGTATTATTAAAGAAACTATACTTAGAAGAAGAAACTATACTTACAAGAACTATATTTAAATATTTATTTAGAAGAAAGCATAAATAAATATTTTTGTTAAAAGTTTAAGCTTAACAAAGGCACAGCTCGTGCTCTTAAAATCAACCTCCACTGCTCGCGGAATTCAAACAACAAATAATGTAAAGTAAAATTTAAAATACTTAATGCTTGAATTCACAAAGACATTTCTAATCAAGCTTTGTATTATGGTTTTAACAGAGTTGTAGCTAGGGTTTTCAGCGCTCAGGGACAACTGAAGATTTTGCGCCCTCTACTGCTTTGCCAAGGATGAAAAACATTTAATTCTAAAATGTCGTAACATCAGTTTGGCGCCCGGGGACAGATGCCCCCCTTGCTCCCCTCTAGCTACGCCCCTGGGTTTTAAGTGCCCGTGTAACACGGCTGGCAAAAACTTAAAGTCGATTTAAGTAAGCTTACGAGTTGGGCGAGAAATACAAACGAAATTCATCGTCGCTGCCAAAAGCTCCATCCTTCACTTAAAAAACTCTGTTCTTATACTCCTTAACTAACTTGAATCCCAGTGAGCCAACGAAAGTAAAAAGGACAGTACAGATAAAATATTTAGGTAATGGAATTATTAACCTAAAATCTTACACTGTTACAACGATTCCTCTTGCTTTACTATTAGTTTTCTTTTAACATAAGATATGTGAAAGGGAATAAGTGAGATTCGCAAGCGAGTCAATACCGAATCAGTTAGAAGTTCAATCAATGGTAAAATATGGAAACAGAAAAGTTATCAGAAAATGACCTTAGCAAAGTTTACAATTACTTCTTTGAGACAAAAGTGCTGTTTGCTACCATTCACGACAATTAATATGCACAGAATTTTATACTCATCGATCATACCCAGGCTATATATTTAAGGGAAGTAATTTTGTTAATGCTCAAGCAAACAGTCAAATATTAATCCTCGTTTACAAATTTTACATAGATGGTTGTCTTAGTATTAAAACTCTTTTTGTATTACCTGATTAGAAACAAACTAATCCATGACCACTTGAAAATCGACTCTATAGTAAACTACATTGCTAAATAAAAGCGTTTCTTCAAAACTGGATTTGGCTGTGATGCTGCAAAGTTTTCAGGAATTCTTGGTTACCAAACCATTTCAGAAGATAATTCAGATCAGAAACATTTGCTACTCACATGCTTTAGAGATACAATTTTGTAAGGTAGCTTTGATTGCCAACTTGCTCGGCGTAACTTGCTTGGCGTAACTTGCTCTGCTTAACTTTTGTCCGTCGTCGCTTTTCGTTAAATTGGGCATACAAGTAGTAAAGGAGGGGGACAATGATCTCCCCACTTTTACCTCACTTTCTTGACCGTTCCTGGAGTTTCGATGGCTTGGCAAATGCGGTCAACAGCAGGAGACTGACGTTAATTACGGAAGGGCAAAGTAAACGGCTGTGTCGGGGATCATAAGGGGAGATATATTTAAAAAAAAGTGTTTTTAGATCTCATTCAGTATTAGTATATCAGTATATCATTAACGTAATTAATGAAAGCCATTTGAAACCAAAATAGGATTTGCATTAGTAAATTATAGTTAAGAATAATGGCCCCCATTGTTCTGATTATTACTGGAATAATTTAAAGATTAAATCCGATAGTATCTTAAGATGTTTTTGCATTGGAAAACAAGAATATAACTCATTTTGATTCACCTTTCTTTTCTTTATGAAGACGAATATCTGTTTGCCATACACGTGATCAAATAGGGATAAGTGTTTAATCCGTAAGATTATAAGTATTGATTAACATTTCCTTAACTACTTCTAATTGAGGCTTTCTAAGAGCAACCCCCTTAATTTTGACTTTCGCTTTAATTTTAGACTAAAATATGAGCATAGAATCTACCTTTAAACAATGCGATTTTCGGAACATTCGGAGTTTCACCTGCTAGCTCGTCAAAGTCATGCGTTCTCAGAGACTTAATTTTCTTATCTAGCTTATTAAGGCTCCTTCTGGGGTTGCATGAGCAACTTCATAATACGTATAAGTATATATGCTTTCTGTGAAATTATATTTGTCAGGAAATATGATATATCATAATATATGTATGTTTTATTATTTTACTATAGCTAATGCGCTTATCATTAAAACATGGAAGGCGTAGCCGAAATTTAAGAAAATGTTTGGTTACATCATTTTGACTTTCTTTTATTTTGCTGTCTGTTTTCTTACTATGCAGATTACTAAACTATGAGTAAGTCAATTTTAAACCGGCAAAATTTCTACATGGAAAATGCTTCGCATTGCAAAGCATTGCGAAGGCATTTATAATCAAATTCCTTACGTTTTATTTACACTACCTAATACATATTCACTTAAATGCAAACTGCTTCCACATTTTTGTAAATATTTCTATTTTTACAAACTGCAAATAGCTAGTTTTAATTTGCTGTAATGATGACTGACAAAATCTAAATATTATTGAGGGATTGGATTTAAACTGTTATCTTGAGATTTAAATTTTCCTAAAAAATACACGTGAATCTATTTATTTAAAAATACATAATAATAAAAAATATTTCTGTAATATTCAATAGATAATGCGAATAAAATACCTAAATTTTATGTTTTTAATCACCACCGGCGAACTCTCCAACAAATTTTGTAAAATCTTTAGAAGAGTACTGAATCGTTAGATATAGGTAGATCTGTATATTTCAATTTCTTATTTGCATTGACTTAATTTCTTTGTTGCGAGATTTAACTGCCAAAATCTAAATATTATCGATGGATTGGATTTAAACTCTTATCTATATTTGGAAGCGTAAATAATGTAATATCTAGATATTGTTGCAAGATTACATTGTCAGGCATTTGAAATCAGCGTGCCTTACGCAACAAAATATTAAACTAAAAATCTGCTTCCTAAGATTTTAAAAGAAAAAAAAATCTACAAATTTTTCTTTCCTTTCAGCAAAACCCTGAATTCGTAAATTTTTGAAACAAAAATGGAGAGGTGAACTTATGACGAGTGTTTCAACCAAGATCTGAAGGGACAGCTTGGAAAGAAAATTATCAAACAAACCACGGGGTATATCTGTGGCCAGTTTTAGGCTTGAAACTGGTCACGACTACTTGGCGAGCCATCTTGAGCATGTTGGTATTCCTTACTAGCCCATACTGCCCAATTTGCGGCTTAAATGAAGAAATGGATAGGACCTACATCGGAAGGTGCCCGGCGCTGCGTGGAGCCTCTGAAGTGAAGGGCTATTGGAAAGTTAGATGTCAAATGATGAGATATTGACTTTTTAGTTATATATTCACAGAGTTCTGTTCTATTGT